TCAAAAATCGGGCCTTGTGAGGATCTAGCCCTAAGGGCACTCTATAACTTGAAAACCACCCGGGCTTGTTAGCTCGTGTCCTTATTGTGAAATCCTTGCCCGCGTACAAGGTACTTTTGACCAATAAATTGACTATAACTCATTGGTTTATTGGAGATTTGGAGAGATATTTTAACCATAATCTCCCCTATCCTAGACTAACATTCTCTGAAATTTTGGTTGAAATCGGATGAAAAATAACAGAATTCGTTTCTGAGGGGGGGGCCCCCCTTAATCTCTTGATGGGCACTTTAGTACATTTGTAAAATATTATCCCGTTTTTTTTTATCAAATTTTGCAGATTATATGAGATTCTTTAAAGCTTTGTAACATTTCACAATTTATTATCTCATTATGAGGAAAAAATCTTGACAACCTAATCTGCAATGTTTATGCTATTTTTTGAGTGTCTCCTAGTACAGTTTTACTTATTAATTAGTCATTCAATTTTTCAACTATTTCTTATTCTTATATGACTAGAGAAAAAGGACAGGCTCATTTGGTCTTGAAGTATTTGGAAATTTCACGGAGTGTTCTAAAATTTTTGAAATACATTAAATTCAATTAAAAATAACAAGACAGCAGAAGAATTGAGAAACTATTTAATTAACATCTTTTGTAAGTAGTATCTAAAAAAAATTGTCATGCGAAGATTAGCAAAATTGCTCGGAATAGACGATCTTTGAAAATTCTACTAAAAAAATTGTCTTGCTTTCTGGCGATAGAATTCGAACAGAAATAAAAACGGTTATTATTGTGTTCATGTGCGAAGAAGACGAAGTGTGTTTGAACTGAGAAATTATTATAGATGTAATTCGAATGTTTTTTCTAATGAAGTATTTTATCTTAATGAAATAAGACTAAATATTACGGTTTCCGAACGAGAGAAGGTATTCGAAGACATGTACAATCTAGAGTCTTCTATAAATATCCACAATATAGAGAATCATCGTTTCAAATGGTTTTGTGGTGTCTTCAGAGATTCGAATGGTAATTATATAGAGAAGAATAATTTCAAAGAGAAATTCTTTTTTTTTTACAGTTCAGGTCGTTTATTTTTGTTGTAATAGTCTAAAATTAATAGGTAATGATTTTTGGATATAAGAGAAATTTCATTCAACTTCCAATGTCTATCGAATTATTTTAATATTACATAAAATCTTTTTTCAAGTCTAATGTCTTCCTCTAACTCCTCTGAATTGTCTTTAATTCTAATGAAGTTTTAAAGCACTTAAATTCTTTCTTGTCAAATTATTATACTATTTATCTGATTTTAGTAATATTAGTTAAGAATTAAAAGTTTATTTTAATAATTTTATTAAATTTATTAATATTTGAATAAATCGACTAGTATGAAAATTATATTCTTATAAAAGAATTTGATTTAATGAAGTAAAATAAAAAGAGGCTGTGAGTGTGGATATGGGTGCAAAGAACATTTTGACCCACAATCACATTTCGCATCCACACCAACGCTACTCCATCTGCTCCTGCACACGCACCTACATCAACATCGACACTCATTGAAAACATTCTTGAGTCTGTTTGACTCTATATGTATATTTTCGGTCAATAATAGAAAACGAATTAATACAAAAATGCTTCTCTGAGAAAAATCTTTTAATAGTCTGAAGATTCTACTAATGTCATCAGCATTGTCTGATGTAACGTCACAATTGATTGCTTTATTCGATTCTGCATCATTAGTCAAGAGACTGCAACTCGTCAATCACTTTACAAGTGATAGCTTCATCGAACCAGGGTGATGATTCTATGAGTTTGACAAATCAACATTGTGGACTATTCATTCGTTTGAACTATAATTAAGAACAGCTTCAACATCCGTTGACTTACAAGCTTTCATTCTTTCAGCATATAGAGCTAACAATAAAAAGAGATGCAATCAAAATCCTTCAACGATGGCTTCATATATACCATGAATACAAAGAAAAAAAAATTCGTCTAATATATCTTTCGTCTGACTGGATGGGTGTGACAATGTTGATCTTGTCTTCATCAACCCACCATTAGTTATACCGTTTATAGTGAAACAAACATATGTAATTCAAGTGAATACAATCAATTTTCATTTTAAAAGTAGATGAGTTTTGTAGAGAAAGAGATCATCTACAAATCTACACTACTAAAATAACTTTTTCATACCTTCCTCGATGCGGAAATGTGACAGCACAAAGCGCCATGTGCGTAACTAATGTATATATTGATATGAATCAACCCAATATTCTAAGATTGAATATTTATTTTAAAAGAATATATTATGCAGTTTTTTACGCTCCTTCCAATAAGATATTAAACATTGAAGTTGGATGAACATTAAAAGAAAAAAAGTATTTTTGTCGAAAATTACCGGTATAGAGGATGCGAGTGAAAGGCAGAATCTTACCCACACCACACAACCTTACCTCATTTAGTTCAAAATTCTCCTTATGTAGGCACTCCAGAATGTTACAAAAATAAATAAAATGCAGAATAAAAAAAAAACAAAAAATTCAATGATCTCAAACAACATATAAAACTGATCAAGCATTCGACCGCATTAAATTAAAATTGTTTAATATTCAAATTCTTTATTTTTCAATATTCTTGCTGCCATTGACCGTTCGATTTACTTTTTCTCCTTTAACAAAACAATACAGCCGTAGATGAATAATTCTTTCGTTTATTTTGAACTATAAATATCATAATATTATTTATTTTTCATTGATCTCTAATAACAAAAAATTTATTAATAAATCAATAGATACATATATATAATCTATCCATTTTATTTTAACTCTGGTCAACAATTTTGCTATGTAAACGTGGAAAAAAGTTTAAATGAACATTTGTTGGTTCAATCCATGGTTCAACAATTTGAAGTGTTTCAACTTTTGAACAATTGTCTTTAGCTTGTTGTTGATTTTGATCAATTATTGTTGACAATGCATCATCACGGATGATAAGTTCAACTAGACATGGAAGACGACTTTGACAAAGAAATTGTTCAGCATAATTAACATGAATATCATGTAAAATAAGTAGACTTAAATGATGAAATTCAATAATATTGATTGTTGTTTTGATTTTCTCTTCTTGTTCAAGTTGATTAATTACTTCGAGTGTTTGAAGACGAGGTAAAGCTCGAGAAATACGTTCAAAGAAAACAGTTTCGAATGATTTAACATCATCGAAAAGTAATAATATGGTGACATTTGAAAATCTATTTTTAACATCGAAAAGTGGAAATCGATTCGAAATAAAATCAAGACGATTACCAATAAATGGTAGTGAATATATCTGACATTGACCATATTTGTTATTGAAATAATCGAGTGCACAATCAATAGATTGTTCATATTTGACAAAACTTTGACAAATTGTATCTGATTCTATATGAGGAGCTTGTCTTAATATTGAACGAATGTGAAAATTCAACTGCCGTAATTGAGGCATATATAAAATAATATCTCTTTTTAAATCGAATCCATCAATAAAGTGATCTGGTCCGCTTCCTTTCACACTAACAGTTAACAATAATGTTAAATGTTCAACATTTGATAAGCGTTGTAAAAGAGGAAGAATACATTGTTCATAATGAAGAATATTGCGATAGATTGTCATTGTCAAATACTTCAAGTTAGGACAGAATATCTAAATGAAATGAATCAAAAAAAATGTCAAATTGAGAAGCACAACTTACTGATGTTAGTTGAGATATACTATTATTTTCGTCTAGACGTACGTGTACTATACTCACACTGAATGAATGTAGTTGTGAACCTAGTTGATTCAATAAACAAACACAATCATGAAATTGACGTAATGTGATAGACACATGAGTAAGATGAGGTGATTGTGTAAAGAACAGTCCTTTATCACTAGATGGTACTGATAGAGCACAATCATGATCATATTCAAAGGAGACAATGGAACGCATAAATGGTGAACAATGAATGAATAATACAAGTTTTTCAGCGAGTAAATCATTAAGATAGAAAAGTTGAGGTACAGTCGAAAATAGAGGATAATGATGGAATTCATTATCATAATAATAACCTAAAAATATATAAAGAAAGATCGACATAGTATATATATATACCAAGTGTTGCAGAAATAATCTACCAAAAAAGAATAGCATATCACCAGTTTTTTGACTGAATGAGATAATTCTTTTTTTCTAATGATAGAAGAGAGTTCCAAGTTTTTATTCATGAGCAAAAAGTTAAATAACATCGCTTACAACTATTACCATCTACTTATAAGAGAAAAAAATTACACTTTTTCGCAAAGATAAACGATAGGTTTTTAGACTTCTGTAATATTATTCAAATTGTCAGGTTCTTAAATTTTCTCAATTTTTACAATAATTTATTTGCAATGTTTGAGTTTTCGCTAGTCTAACTGGCTTCTCAGAGCCTTTACAGGATCCTCACGGATGTTCTTATACAGAAATTTCTTCAGAAACTCGTGACTACAGTTAACTCTTGGTAAAGTAATTGCATGAATAGCCAACTACGAAAAACACAATAGTATCCGAACACTTGTTGATATATTCCATTTTGTAGAGATTTTTTCACTGATGACTTCGGTAAAAAGAATTTTTGATTTTCATCAAACAATTATGGGACTGTCCTCAAAATATTAAAAAACATCATATTACTCTGGAGTTCTGAAGCAATTGTATTTTTTTCAGTATTTTGACCATAGTATCTTCATTTGTTGATGAAAATAGGAAAACTTTTTTACCGAAATGATCAGAGGAAAAAGCTCTACGAAATCGAATATGTCAAAACAAAAATTCACAGATCTCTGCATTTCTTATGGCTGACTACTGATGGAAGTACTAGACAAAAACAAAAAAAAAGGTCAAGTTTTGGATTGAAGTAAATAGTGCTAGATTTCAAGTTTGTCACTAAGCTGATGATTTATGAATAAGAACTTGTAACTTTCCTCTATCATCAGGAAAAAAATTAGCTCATTTCGTCAAAATACGGTGGAGATATTCCATCATTTTTTGCTAGGTTATTTCTCGGACACTCGGTACAACTTATCTCAAGTCAATCAGTCAATATAATCTATGAAAGAATCTTATATATTCTTTTTATGCACTTCTTTTTAGTCAAGATTAAATTTGAAAATTCTCAAATTATAATTAAACTCTACTGTGTAATTAAAAAATGAGCTATATCTACTAAATAATATAATTTGGAAAATTATATTCAAGTATAACTTACTTGTATAACGTGTTCCTGTATTATCATAGAGACGACCAGTCATTATTTTCAAATGAATAAAATTTGAAAGACTGTTATCATCAATTAGTTTAGTAATGTGATCAAGGTAACATATATGTGCAAGATTTATTGTAAGTGATTGAATACTATTACATATTCGAGGCATAACATTGAAAAAGAAACGTGTAATAAGTGTTCTATGAGGTGAACCAGAATAATCAGAAGTAACATCAATTGAATGACATTTGTCAAATACAAGCAATTCCAAACGATTATTTCCAATACCAATAATAGACGAAAGTAATAATGCTTGAGGTTTTACTTTATTCATAATAGCTAAGATTATTTCATTAGGTAAGTCGAGAAGCTCAACAACATCTTCTATAGTAAATAACAAATGAAATAGATAATATTCTTAATAGATACATACTTCTGCTTAATAAGGAATTCATCATTATTGGTATGATATATCCGTCTGAATAACAGATAAATATATATCTATTTATATATGGATATTTTTTCTTGACGGACATTGTCTAAAATATAACTAATCATGAATGAGTATCAAAACAATGAATAATGTTTCATTTAAAAATATTCTGTATGTACATAATCAAATAAAGTCAAATATCAAATATTTCATTTGAGACTATAGTTTCTCGATTTCCAGTAAATGAAATAGTAAAAATTCTATTATGGAATTTATTAATACTTCCCTAGTGAAAATAATCATCAAGCAAATATGACTTGCCAGCATCAGTACTCAAATTACTTGAGCGAGTACTCTGGCAATTGTTATATGTATGAATACTGTTCGTGTACTCTGATGAGTACGTATACGACTTTTTCTCTACAGATTTACTCATAGGCAAGGATGTGAGTACTCAACCTAGTACTCATACGAGCTTTTATGTAGACTATTTAGCAAAACATTTATGCACTTGTATATACCAATAATAGATTGAAATTATGTATTAAAGAAAGATCATACAATAATTATAACGAAAAATAAAAGAAACTATTTTAAAGACTTATCTAGTTTATCCTCAACTCTTTGCTGATGAGTCACTTACACAAGTTTGTTTAATGGTGACTTTAAGAGAAAAAAAAAGAAAAACAACATTTCACATAAAAATGTTAACTTGCCGGGAGATATTAAATCTTTGTTTAAAAGTGTTAGTAGATATTTGTTCAAATATAATTTTCTAAATTTTGATAAAATGCTTTGTATTAAAGTACAGGTTTTCAGATTAACTGTAAAATGCAATGAAACAAAAAGAATTAATAATTCTTGTGACAAGTCGACTGTGATTTAAAATCATGAACACATCTAGATAATACTACGGACAAATAATTTTATTTTTTTGTTTTTAATAAATTACTAAAACACTAGAGATATTTATGAATTTAAAAAATTCTATATGATTTTTTTTATGGTAATCAACACTTTATGTTTTCATCGTAATGCGACTTCTCTGTCTCGCAAAATAATTTATTTTTCATTTTTCTGTTCCTGTATTTTGATGTGCGCTATTTGTGTTTTAGTGTACTCTCACTTTATGAGATAGAGATAAAGAAATCTTGATTTCTAATGAAGAAAGATAGATATTTCTTTATGTTGATACCATAAAAATAAGATTCTATTTATTTTTATAAGATCAAAAATACGAATGAAGTTTTAAAAAACATGAAAATGTAATATTAAAAAAATACACCACGGATATGAAATTGTAGTAGAGAAATGATTGCTCATAATACGAAATTAGTGATCATGCAACTGTACAATGCCTTGTCCATTTTACATTTTCTTAAAAATAAATTTTCTTGTTTTTTAAAATTTTATTATTTTCTTTAATCTTTTGAATAAATAAATAAAATCTTATTGTTATCATATAAAAATAAAGAAATATTTCACTTTCTTCTCTAGTGATTAAGATTTCTCTAGCTCTATTATTTGTTTCAAAAAATATGAAGATAAAGTTATAGTTGTAGTTCTCATATTTAATATTTTCTCAAATTTTCATTATGTTCGTATGAATTTTTTGTCATTTCATTTTATATCTAAATAAAATGGATTTAATACGACAATACTGAACAGAATATAGGCTTATGAGTATTTTACATCAATCAGAATTATACATAAAAGTTCTATAGGGGTACTCAATAAAAGTTCAATATCACACGGCGTGTACTGAATCGTTGTACTCAGAGACTCAGATCTTAGCATGAGGGTGGGTATGTGGGTGTGGGTGTGGGTGTGGATGTGGGTGTGGGTGTGGGGTGGGTGTGGGTGTGGGTGTGGGTACTAGTGTTCTCTTTATCCACACCCACACCCACACCCACCCACCCACACCCTTCTTGTTCATTAATGCCCAAATTGCTCATAGGAAATAGTATTCTTCAAAAAGGAGTACTATTTAAGATCGATACTAGTCATGCAAAACATATCTGTAAATACTCGTCTGATCCTTACATGGTAGAATATATTCTGATGCCGGGCACTCGTTTGATTGTAAAGAGTACTGATACATATAAGAATAATAATAACTTAACGCTGGAACATTTAGAAGAACTGCCTAGGGTACAAAAACAAGTAGATACATCAAATTTCTTAAAATCTAAGAGACAATTGGAACATAGTCAATCTGGTGAGTGTTTGTTTCTATTACTTAGATCTAAAATTTTAAGAGAAAAAAAACGATCAAACTATACTACTTCACTCTCTTTTCTCATCGATCGTATCAAGATGCTCTTTTTGACTCTCGTTATCAAAAAACGTTCGATCTAGATTATGAGCCATTTATGAAAGTTATACACAGACAAAAACATTGGGCTATGGTGTTTGGCAATTTAATTTTTCAATAAGGTAACATTTTTATTGAGATAGAATGATTTTTCAAAACTATCTGATTCGACCTTAAGGAGATGTGTTCTGAATACATGGTTGTTCTGAGAGAAAAGTCAACTCAGTGCATAGATACATTAAGAAACTTTCTATTTTTCTTTGAGACTTTTTGGACACACCGACTCTTAATAAAATATCTTTTCAAGGGTAAAAATATGCCAACTAAGGATTGAGATTTTGTTGAATAAAGGAACGATGAACGCTTTACTTTTCTGAATAAATTTATCATAAAATGAAAAAACAATACTTATGACACACAGAATATATAAAACTGATTCTCTTTCTATATCTCAATTGAGAAGTCTCTTAAAGCATTAGGAGGATGTAAAGGCTCAGATCAGGTGACTTTAGAAGTACAATGTACGAGCTAAGCCATGAATTTGGATTAGTTTAAACATGAAATGAAGAATACATTCTATAGTTTTGCATTGAATATAAATCTACTTGACTACTTGAATTGGATGGCATGTTTATTGATACAATTACTCCTACGCTATAAAATAATTATTTTGAACTAATACCCACTTACTCTACATAAACGATGATATTCCGATACTAATAAATCTTAGACTTCCTTTCACGTTACTACAGCATAGATAAATCTGGATAACGATAGGTCTTTGTTCTAACATATCCGACTTGTTCTATCAAAAAGAATTATTGATCTCTGTCTAAGACTCTAAGTTAAAGTGTGTCTCAAATGTACCTATGTAGGCCCGTTTGATCAATGGAAGCGGTTTAAAATGATCGATTACGAAAACAAGCAATTAAAACTTGTCTATAATATGCAGTCGTCTTTCAAACTAACATTCAAAACGGTTGTCAAATACATGCAAAAATATATTCCAAGTATATTTAATCCAGCACGACGGGATGATAGCCACTATGATGATCGATCTGAAGAAATGACTGCTGTCAGATTATATACATTGGAATCTGGTACACAGCCTTTGTGTGAATTACTACATGAAGCATTTAAATCTGGCTGCCGAAACGAAATAGAGTCTTGGTTTCCTTACCTTCAATTATTCCGTAGTGAAGTTGAACACTAATCACCATACAAAGTAGAATGTTGGCATGGCACCAATATTGCTATAGGTGATAAATTCGAAAGAGGACAAATCATTACTTGGCAAGGAATCAGTTCATGCTCCAGATCTATAAATTTCATCCTAGAGAATTGCGTTGGCACTAATGGAACTCTTATCAAGATCGATGCTATCAATGGCAGAGATAT